CCTTCTGGAAAATTAATGTACTACCTGAAAAAACTAATGTGTGTACAGTGTATTGACATTTTCGGAGCTTACTTTATCAATGCGACTCATTTCAATTGATACAATTGGGGATTTTTAGCAAACTGTATCCACTTGTTGTGACTTATGAAGATAATGTCAAAGTAAATCGGATTGATGGAAAGATGTGGTAATATGACTGACATAAAGTATCTTCATTTGCAATTTAAGTCAATTTGAGTCATACAGTAGTACAGCATGCAACACAGAATACTGATTTAACTTTGTTGTAATAATTATGGAAGGTATCATAGGTCTTAATTATTTGATTATTGAATGCAGTATGAACATAAAATTCTGGATATGGAAGGCACTGCAGGTCTTAATTATCTGATTATGGAAATGACAAACATCAAATTCTGCAAATAGAATGCAGCTGATAAAAGAGATGAATAACGATTATGAAATTTTTATATAAAATAAAATAGCTCACATTTGAAATATGTATAATTGAAATAGCATTGTTAATTACATTTATTTTAATTAATAATATTAGGTCACCTATTAATTTAAAATTTAAATAATTGATTACATGTTATTACCAACTCTTTCTTAAACTTATTACAATACCATAATTGTGACCATATGGCCCTAAATTAACCAACCTACTAACCCTGTTTTTTTCTACAAATGCATTGTTCTTTCCTCTTTGTGTGTAGTGTCGTTATTAAATTTCTCTGTTAGTTTCTGAACATTAAACTTCTAAATATGGTGTATTAATTAATTAACTAAGAACTAGATTTTAAATCCATCAACCTAAATCTTTAATAATTTTGGGGTCACCTCCCAGATTTTCAACATTCCAGACAGATAGGAAAAGCACCCATATTCAGTAGGATTTACTCTATTCCCCACGGACCTGACCCTCAACCGCCTAAGCCTCTTGGTCAGAGATATTTTGCTCATTCATCTATCAGTTCTCGCAACAAATGAAGATTTCATAATAAATACAGAAAAATCTTTTTTATTATGATAAATACATGCTAAATCCATAAACCAATATTATAATAAACATGTGATATAATATGCAGAAATGTATTATTAAAAATAAGTCTAGAAATAAAATTTTATTAAAGGAAGTAGCTGGTGTAAACCTTCCGAGATGGACATTTTTATTATAATTTCAAAATATATATTTTTAAAAGACAAAAATAAAAATATAGAAATGAGATACTGCCAATTGTCCAGATAAATTACCTGTTTTTGAGAAAAAATTGAACATTTTCCCTTTTTATTTTGTTTGAAAAAATCTTGAATATCTGTAATAATAAATTAGATGTATTTATTCTTGAATTCTTGCTTTTGTCTTTGTTGACGTTTTCTACGAGTTTAATCCCAATTATGGTGAACTGTCCCCTGGGGTTAGTCGCTTAGCATGAATCAACAATAACTGTGACTTTAGTCTGTAAACCTTGAAACCACCTTGTCTTAATGTGAACATATCCACCCTGCCCCAGCCCAGCACACCCACCTGTCCCATCCCACCTACGCATTCATTCCCACCCACCCATACCATCCCACCATGACTATTCTTTGATTCATTAATATAATAATGTGATTTAGGTTTAAATATGCTTTCTGTGAAACTAAGACAGACATTTTATTGTGAACCAGGGGAAAAACAACCCTAAGCCTTTAGGATTATGGAAAGTAGGACTCTTTTTTTGAATAGCAGGTTTATGTCCTTTGACAAATCAAATACTGGGTCATTTACTTACTCAAAGTCCCTTAACCTTTAACAACAAATTTCATAAAATATTTATTCTCATGTGGAATCATTTGTTATGTCATACATTCTTGTTTCAGTATGTTGTCACTATTGTAGTTGTCACAGTTTATGCTTGATGCATAGTAGTGTCCGACCTTAAGGTTAATTTAAGAATATGCAGAAGGGTTGGGGGGGGGCAGTTGGGATAATCTCCCAGTGGGATATAGGGACAGAGCTCATATTGGGGCCACGGACAAAGGAAGATTTCCAAAATGAATCAAATTTTAGTGTATGTTCAAATGTGAATCATAGGGCCTGTTTCTACTGGAAAGAAATAATCGATTAAAAATCGCTTTTTCGAAAAATCGTTTTTATTCTCGCAGTAGAGACGGGACCAGTTTGAAAAAAGCGATTAATAATAATAATAGTTGAATTTGTAGAGCGCATCATGCGAAAAGCCTCTATGCGATTAAAAAAAATCGATTAAAAACACGCAATGGATAGCGTGTTTGAACGGCAAATAACCGATTTTGGCTGTACACCTTTTAGCTGCAACACAAAAAAAGCGATTATAAGGTGAAATGTGAGCTCCAGGTCAATCACTGCAAAGACTAGATCGTATTAGGCGCGAACTAAAAAAAATTTGTCCTCTTGTTCATGTCCTAGGCCTACAAGATAAAAACGTCAACAAACATGAGGAGTGACGAATTTGTTTTGTAATTATTTTGTGGGGGGGGGGGATTATTGGGCCTAGGACTCTCCGTTCTTTTCGGCCTACCATTGTCCTTGTTTGGTCGTCGTTCATAATTGTGCCGATGAGCACAGTTGAAAGCATTTGCCTTCTCGCCCCACATCGTATCTTACTCCTTGTCATGACGGGAATGAGAAAGATACTATCCTATACAGTTAGGAAAACAACGTGTTGTATAAACAAAATGGTGACGTAATTTCCGTCACGAAAACCGATTTTCGAAAAATCAAAAATGCAGTTGCAACAACAGCAGGCTGTCTGGTACTCATTAAAAAAACGATTTTAAAAAATCGATTATTTTGTGTTTATCAGTAGAAACACACCCATAGTTACACAAAATTCAGTCTGAATCTACTCTCTACTATTCACTATTACCTTTCCAAACAATCCCTACATCATAAAATTTAAATTTTAAGCCTGCTTACCATGAATATACTTCATCTTCTGGTATAAAACATTTTTTTCTCTTTGCCCTGTGATTTATGAAGTCTAATTTCATAGTTGGTCTCCCATTGTTAATTAATACTTTCTTATCCTCAAACAATTTCCTATTAAATGTTGTAAATTTAACACATTTTAAGTAATGTTTCCTGTATTGGACGCCATGTATGTAGATGATTCAGAACAAAATCCGAGGGACTTGAGAGGGTCTGACAAATAAAAATTAGCATCAGCGGTAGTAGAGGAGCTCACACGCAAACCTGAGGAAGTGGTGTATCCAATCCAGTCTTCAATTCGCTTCAAATGTTGCCATTGGTTAAAATTAATAAGAATTTTCATTGTTTCAAGGTATGCTATAGCTTTCATTGCTAGCTGAAAGACGATTGGTTAGCAAGAAAAACCACCTACATGTATGTATAAGCCAAACAGTGCAGCCAAACAATGCAATTGGCTAAAAGTAAGCATACTGTAGGTAATCTAACTAATCATTGTAAAAATAAGTATAGCTACCGTAATAATAATAATCTGTTTGCCTTGTGAAGACTGTATCTCAAAAACGCTAGGTAAAACTGAGAAAAGGCAATAAAAACATGTTTTAATTGGAGGTCTAACAGTATGCAATGTAAATTTGTCTTCCCTTGATGGTCCACCACAGTTGTATAGGCCTATTATTTTTCAAGATATTTTTGTGTCCTAATTATACTTATTGCTTTTAGGATTTTGTGATTTTTATATATTAGAGGTCTTATGCTGGTATGTGTGTCCTATTTGTACCTGTGTTTAATCCCTAGCTTTTTTAGTTCAATTCACAAGTTCATACGTAATGTAAATGAATTAGAGAATGGTATTTGATTTCATGGAGATGGATAGTACATTAGTGTTATCAATGAAGAGGATGAGGATGATACCGTAGTACTATAGTGATGGGAATGGTTGTGTTGGTATTTGTTAGTGTGAGGACGATGATCATCTTATAGGTCAGTGTGGGAAGGTGACTAGGCCAAAAAAAAATTACTGTGTAGCAACGCCCGACCTACCCACATTTTATGAAATTAAGGGGTGGCATTTTAGATTTTTTTTTTCTTTTGACAACAAACAATATTTTTTCATGAGCAAATATGGCTGGAATAGCCTTGGTGAGGTTAGGGTGCCAAGGCTAGCTTATTTTGCTGGATGATATGCGATGCCAATCCAAAATTATTGTATTAGTTGTGTATTTTCTACTTTTTAGGCCTAAACACATACTTGGTTGTTAAAGAAAAACAAAAAAAGTTTTCCTGACCTACCAATTTTTTTTTTATTTTCTCAAAATGTGGCCAACACAATTTTTTTTTTTTGGCCTTATAATGATAATGTTGGTAGTAGTGATGATAATTGTTGATGATGATAATGACAATGTGGTTGTCATGGTTAATGATGTTGAATTTCCATAAAAATTAGTGTTAATGATGATTGAAAATGATGATCATTAACCAAAGTGATGAGAATCATTTATGGTAGTGGTGGTAATGATTGGAGATAGTGATAATGTAACCCTTATATATTGTTGCTCTGCTATAGTCCCACAAAGAGCATACGCAAACCAGTGGCGTATCTAAGGGAGGGCGCGGGGGGCTCCCGCCCCCAAAAATTACTTGCGTCCCCAGTCGCCTCCCAAAAAATCACGGTCAAGTAGTTAAAAATCACCTAAAATCACCATATTTTGCGAATTAGTGCCCCTCTACTGATCATCGAGCCACCCACCCCCCACTTCACCTTTGCGCCCCCATCAGCCCCCAATTCAAGACTTCTAGATACGCCACTGAGGTAAACACATGCATTTGTGGTACAAAACGTGTTTTTGAGACATGCACAAAGGTCCACTATCATAGCACTGATGGCAGTGATGGTAAAGACTGATAATGGCTTAAATAATGATGATGATGATGATAAGACTAATAATACTGGTGCTGGTTTATAAGCCTCTTACCTATATACAAAAAGAACCAAGAAATCATTTCACAGGAAACATGTTTTAACAGTCTTGACTTTGTTCCATTTCAGCTGTTTCACCAGCCGAGAGCAGAGTGTCTAATAACAGTCTAACATCAGTAACAAGTGGTGAGTTGACCATTATCATGATCATCTCGTTTTAATATGTTATTTCCCGATGGAAGACATCACTCTTCCTGTTTACCCGCTACTTCCACAACTTGAAGTCACTATAGCAACATTGAGGTGCCAATCGCTGTTGTCGAGTCATACATACTCTCTCCAACTTCCTGACTTTCAAGAAATTCAAACATTTTTTAACTTGTCAATAATTAATTTCTGATGCTCAATACAAAATCAAATCCATATTTTGTACTTCGTAGTTGGCCGCTGAAATCCTTATTGAGTTTTGTGATATATATGCTATTGAACTCAAGTATTTGTAGGTCTAGACATTTTGGCAGTCCAGTATAACTAGGTTCTGTGTCCGCTTAATAGGCCTTGCTTTGTAAACAAGGATGGACCAAGCAAATATTGAAATTTGTTATTCCTTTGTTTTAATTATATTTATACTTTTCAACTCTACTGGCACTGGTACTCCATTTAATCAATAGCATATCAAAGAATAATGATATGGGTGGGCTTATGGAGCGGGAGGGAGGTGGCGAAGGTACTCAATGAGTGAGGGAGGTCACAGTTCTGCCAAGATAGGGTGGTATGACTTAATTTTTATCTACTTGAGTATATTTTTTATGCTCAGCAAAGTATCAGTTGTGGAAAGTGAGCACAAACATTTTTTAGAGGGGCTTAATGCTCCCACGCCTTGCTCTTGGTACACCACGCCATTTAATATGATCGCTGTTTAGCTGAGATGTCACTTGTCATAGCTTAGTGGAGGACATGTTATCTATTTTGTTGCTGTCAATTACTGGATATGATAGTATGGCTTTAATCTTTTGCATCATATTTCAATTTTTACTCATTCAAATCATAATGCTGCTACCATCTATTGAAGCTTTGTTAAAAGTGGAGATGGAGAATCACTTTGGTGGTATCTTTATTTCACATGTTGTTTTTCATTTTTTTACGACCTGTCCAGACTATCAAAATTTATTTTTGCAAAAACATGTGACATGCCTAAATATGGTAATGATGACATCACATCATGACCATATATAGGCACATCATGGTATACAATACGGTAGTTTTTAAGAAAATGAAAATTTTATGATCTGGCACACTGCCTGCAGCTTTCACCTGATAGGTTAATTACTCAGTGATCATGTGATATGTAGAATGGATTCTTGTAATTGTGAATTCTCAAAGGAATTTCCACACCTGAGCAAGATTTTGCATGTGCTCACTGAAATGCACCAATTTGAGGAAATGTTCCTCCGACCTTTTGCGAATTCTAATTTTTTTATTTGCACACATGAAGTTAACAGAGGTTACATGACCACAAGAGAGTAGAGTTTTTATCAAAATTTGAACAAAATTCTTCATTTTCTTTCAGTGCTCTGTATAGATATGTCAGAATTTAAATTGAATTAACGATCTCAAGCTGAGAATAAAAATGCTTGTACGTAAGAACGCGTCTATGTTGGATAGGGTGCTTTCTTCAACATAGTACCCTGTATGTGTCATAAGCCGTATAGTTTTTGTTGATTTGTGTTAATTTGTGCAATGACATTGAATGTTTATAATAGTATCACGCCAGTAGCATACTCTTAACCCGATGTCACAATTCAAGCTAGACTGGCTTCTCTTTAAAGTTACACTGTATTACTACCTTATTTCCTTGATTATACACGCATCTTGTGTAAAAAGCCACCGCCTGCTATTTGTGAAATTTCACATTGAACCAGCGTTTCCTTGTAGCTGATAATTAATTTTCAATTAAATCATCTATTCAAATTCTTAATTCTTTGAGAGATTCAGAATTTACTAGAGATATATATATTTATTTAAAACATGCATAATTAATAGATTAATTATTTTAAATTTTATTATTAATTATTATTATTAATAGATTTTGAGCAATAATAATGTCATTTTTTTTATAGTGCTCTACAAAAATAAGTCTTAGAGTGCTCCTCTACATTCATTGGAAAGATGCCTATGTTGTTGTGGAATGATGTGGACATGAATGTGCTGTAATCTACAGCATGTATCTGTCTAATATACAATAAATACATTAGAAAACTGTTATTTATACAGTATAGATTTTTAAGGGGGAAAAATACAAAACAGACAACACAAAAACATTATTACAGGAAAAATAACTACATATATACTTTATCTTGTACCTTTACTCCTGGGTGGAGAGAGGGAGGCAACATGGATAAAGTGCCTTGCCCAAGGACACAAGCAACTTGAACAGCAAGTACGTTGAACCCCACCCTTTAGGGTAGCAAGTCCGAGCCAAAACTGCTGCACCAATGGTAACGTTTATTAGTTTAATATCTTGTAGTTCTCATTGTCATATGAATTCTAGAACATGGTTTAGGTAAATTTTGTGTTGCGTAGAAGATGCAAGAGGGTCATGGATATGTGAATCTACCCTAGTTTCACATTGTCACAACTGAAGGCCCCTATTTGGTATCGCAAACTGTTACACTCAAAAAATGTTAGAACAATTTAAGCCTGTAAATAACAAATGCAAGTATACACTATATTAAGTTTATATCACTTTTTGAAATACTGTATGATGTTTAAAAATATACATCCTGTACTTAACCAGAAAGTGGAGTTTATTTGTCATTAGGAATTATTTTTGAGAACTTGGGGAGGAAGAAGCTGTCCTAGGTAGAGTACATGCTTGGCAACTTGGTGATAAAAAAAAACTAACTTGTTTGTATTTACAATGTATAGTGCATGTTGGACAAACATGAAAAAGTAAGCCTTCACATATCTCAAAGTTTTTGGATAGATGCCTTATTGATAATTTTTATTTATTAATTACAGATAAAGTTCATTGTCAGCTGTTATTTTGGTCCTTGGACTTGTCAAAATTATATATGAATGAATGGATATTTTTAATAAGTTGTTTGCCTTTCTGGTTCAGGGTCTGGGTGTGACTTTTCAATTCTTTATGTATTTTTTCTCCCCCACCCAAAAAGAAATATATCATAGATGGCATCGTTATCTCTTGGGTAGCTTGTTTCATGGTCATCAGACATTGTAGGAGGCAACCTGTCTTCCATAATTTCAACATGTTCATTGAAAAGTTCATATAAAAAAGTGATATAATTTTGATTGAATATAATCGAAGATGTCATTTGTGTCATTGCATATTTACACTAAACATTATTATGATTAACTTATTGCTTTTTTACAAAATACTTGGACAAGATACTTATAAAGGAAACCGTTTGTCATGCTTTTGAAATAACCATGGTATAAGTGATGATAGATAGACAGCTAGATGGAATGTTATTTATTCCTCCATACCTAAAATTTACTGATTAATGTAACAGATTAGAAATTCCATGTCAAAGCAACCAAAAAAAAAAAAAAATTAATCTCTCAGATTTTGTTCATTTTTTAATCTATAGCAACTTTTTTATGGTTGATTTGAGGAGTTAACATTTATTTAGACAGTTTAATATAGAGCTACTCAGTAGCTTTTAAATGACACCAAAATCAGCTCAATAGGTGCTATACTTATCGAGATATGGTCAGTTAAACGGTATAAGGTATCACTACGTAGCTCAAACTTTGTTAGTGCATATCTCATTGATTAAAAGCCCGAGATAAAAAAAATTTTCATTTCTGATCGTTTCTCATGGGTCCCAGCCATATACTAAAATTAGAAACAAAATCCAAGCGATTTACGTTTTTTTTTTGGTTGATTTTACATGGAATTACCCAGATGTGATTTCGACTCCCTTCATGATAAGGAGACATGTTAGGTTTCCAAAGGCTCCTTGATGACATATTCAATGCACAGGCACTGGTTTTCATTATTGTCCAAATTACAAAAGATTTCATAATGTAGGTAAATTTAAATGAAAAATTGAGAGAAAATTAATAAGAAAATCTGTGTTATGTGAATGGAATAAAAGATATTGTACTCAAGTTGGAATTCTCAAAGTCTTACAATGATAGAGACTCAGTTTTAGCTCATACATATTATTTCAAGACAGAGTTCATAGTTCACTAGCTTTTCTTATAGATGGCATCAGGCCTGGAAAATAATTTGTGCATCTCCGCCCATGAAAGTTGTCTCGATAACGCCTCTAGCACCAAATGTTATTTTTTTTACCCACAATGCCTCTGGGACATTCATGTTGCCTCCGACCGCCAGTTGCGCAGTCGTGTATTTTTTCTAGCCTTGGATTGTATCACTATCTCTCAGGGAACATTACTGTGATTAACTTATTTCAGTTTTCAAAATACTTGAAATAGATACTTGTAAAGTAATCTGTCTATCATGCTCTTGAAATAGCAGGGTATGATTATAGACGATAGACCACAGTCAGATAGATGGAATGTCCCTTATTCCTCATTACCTAAAATTTACCTAATTATTTAACATAACATTAACAGATGCGATTTTCACTCCAACAACTTCAGCAGTAAATTTAAATGAAAAATGGATGGAAAAGTAAGAAAATTTGTTTTTATGTGAAAACATTTGAAAATGATGTGCTTAAGTTGGTATCCTAGAAACCTTATGTTGCTGGAGACTCGTTTCCTGCTTATACATACATTTTAATTATAAGGACAAAAAAAAATTATTGTATTGCTCACGTTTTGGGAAAATACAAAAAATGGGTATGTCTGTAGGAAACGTTTTTTTTTGTTTTGTTTTTTGTACCGATAATGTGTATATGCCTAAAAAGTAGAACATGCACAAAAATAAAACAAAATACCATGTTAAAATCTATATTGAAGAGCAAAACGATCGCATAACAATATCGCATCTCCTACCGTCGCAAGATAAACCTATTCCAGCCTTTTTAGCTCATTACAAAAATATTTTTCATTGTAATAAAAAAAAAAACTAAAATGCCAAACATTTTGCATCGTTCGATAGTGTTCATAGTTCATTAACTTTTCTTAAACAGAAAGATATATCTCATCGCAGAAGAGACAATGCTTTACCTCCTGGCATAGGTAAATCCCCC